GAGTCTCCTGCCTCAGCCTCCCAAGTAGCTAGGACCACAAGCACCCGCCACAACGCCCGGCTATTTTTTGGTTGCAGTGGGCCCGGGCTGGATTCGAACCCGCCACCTTAGGTGTATGTGGCTGGCGCCTTAGGTGCTTGAGCCACAGGTGCTGAGCCAGGTTTTTTTTTGAGACAGTCTCACTTTCTTGCCCTCCATAGACTGCCATGGTGTCACACAGCTCACAGAAACTCCAACTCCTTAGGCGATTCTCTTGCCTCAGCCTCCCTAGTAGCTGGAACTACAGGTGCCCACCACAACGCCCGGCTATTTTTGTTGTTGTTGCAGTTTGGCCGGGGCCAGGTTCGAATCGCCACCCTCAGCATATGTGGCCAGAGCCCTACCCACTGAGCCGGAGGTGCTGCCCAATAGCATAACATTTTTCAACTCTAGCTTTCTTCATTCTCACTAATCAACTAAGTCCTCCAATACCCCAGGGACAGAGGAAGAGCCATACGTCTCATTTTATACCTAGGAAAATCTAAGCCGACACTGTAATCCACCAGACCAATGATTCTGAGACAACGGACAGCTGAGGGCCATAGGTCAGAGACATGAGGCAGTCCTGCCTCGCACTTCAGCTCAAGAGAGCTTCTCAGGGAGTGTGGGTGCTGTACACACCACAGAATTCACCCTCCTGCCTCTATGTGGGTCTGTCCCCCTCCATGGTGCTTGGCTCCCTGCTGGCAGATGACAAGGAGAGCAGGACCAACGAATACCTTGGGGAGGAGCGTAGTCATCCGAGTCCGTGTCGCTCTCACTGCTGTCCTCCACCAGGAAGATGGGGTAGTTCCAGGACATGCCTAGGACACCGTCAGACTCGTGCAGGAGGACATGGGCCAGCATCCTGCCATGGCAGTCCATGACAATCACCTGCCCGTCAGCTGTGCCAAACAGCACCTGCAACGGAGCACAGGACACTTGACCCGGGGGGAGGGGGGGGGAAGGTCTGTGGTTTCTGGCAAACAAACCTCACTCCCTTGACTTGTTTTAGGAGGACAGAGTATATTTAAAACTAAACCAAAAAACCAGGTAAGTAACTTAGGGGTAACATAATCCACTTAGTGTCTAGAAACTTAGCTGTGACTACCTACAGAATGAACATATTATATGCATGCTGTGTAGACATTTTCAAATAATACCAGCAAATTACTGTTTCACTATTTGTGAGGACTTTGTTGTTGTTGGTTTGGTTGTGCGAGATGGGCTTTAAAAAGATAACATGCATTGGCTTTTCTGGAAAATAAAGAAGTGGCGGAGATTAACAGTTAGGTTTTTTCTCTAATTAGAAGACAAAGTTTAGGTTTGTATTTGACCAAAGAGAAAAAACATTTGTAATATATAATACATTGTATTTGACCAAATACAAAATACGTTTGTAATATGTAATCAAGTTATCTAACCATACTGGGAAAAGAAGATACTCCCAAAATAATGTTTTATTTCTAATGTTTAATGGCTAATGTTTATTTCACTGAGACTAATAATGGCATCTATGAACTAACTGAAAATTAATTTAATGATTAACAGTACTAATCACTCATTGAGTGCCTACTTTGTGCTTTCCCTCGCTGATTGTCCAAACTGAGAGTTAGGTACTAGTATGGCTGGTGCAGACCGCAGACCTCAGACCTCGGCCCGCACCCGAGTATGGTGGAGACTGCTCCCAGGATGTTTCCCGTGGTCTCACCTGTCTCAGAGCATATGCTCAGGAAAGTGCTAGTTTGGTGCACACAGGTAGATGGGCAGAGCTAACGAATAAGGGTACAAGAAGGCTAAATGGATGCTCCCCTCTGCCGCAGGAATGGCGAAGGAGCACCTCACAGCTCATGCCCTTGCTGTGAGTGACATTACCAGTTGGATGTTCCAAGAGAAACCTTGGGACCTGGATGGCGGGCCCCATCGAGGAGCATGCTGCACTATTTTCTGCTTTGTGTGATGGTCTCTGTAGTTTCTGCATCTGTTCCTATTAACAACTTTATCCCTTTTGTGCCTCAGTGGTCTGTCATTCCATCAGCATCTCACAGTAACAACCACACACACTACTATCTCCATTTTATAGCCCAGAAACAACTCCAGAGGCCAAGCTGACAAAGCCATGAAGTGATCAAGCCAGGGCTGTCTGATTAAAAAGGCTAGAATTTACCCTAAGAGAAAGTTATTTAAGGCTTTTTTGGTCTTTGCTTCTTTTGCTTTTGATACTGAGATCCTTGAGGGCAAAGACTGTCCCTACCTATACTCTTGGCACCTAACAGAGCTTTGGGGACACAATGAGCACTCAATAAATATTCACTGCTAAGTGAATAAATCAAACTGACAACCAAAGGGCGACTTTGTTTTACTCACACCTGTAATCCTAGCATTCTGGGAGGCTGAGGTGGGAGGATCACTTGAGCTCAAGTGTTTGAGACCAGCCTCAGCGAGAGTGAGACCCTGTCCACAAGCAAACAACAAAACAAAAAACCCAAAAGGCAATTTTAGGACAGAAATGCTGACAACTGAGATAGATTAATTGCAAGGGAAGACATATTTTATTTAAGTAGCAATAAGTTCATAGAATTTACAGAGCTATTTTTATTTATTTATCTATTTATTCATTCATTCATTTGGAGACACAGTCTCACTACGTCACCCTTGGTAGGGTGTCATGGTGTCATAGCTCATAGTAACCTCAAACTCTTGGGCTTAAGCGACTCTTTTGCCTCAGCCTCCCACGTAGCTGGGACTACAGGTGCCTGGCTATTTTTTGTTATCGTTCTTGCAGTTGTCATTGTTGTTTAGCAGGCCTGGGCATGGTCTGAAACTGCCAGCCTCAGTGTATGTGTCTGGTGCCCTAACCACTGAGCTATGGGTGCCAAGCCACAGAGCTATTTTAGAATAAATCAATCATTCATCAATACCTCTTTAAACACGACCTATATTTTAATGGATGAACACTTAAAAATGTTAAAACAATTTCTCCCAGAGGCAGCAATGGATTCATTAGTGTATGCCATTTACAGGAAAAACAGACAAAACTACTATGTATAAGAAACACATGAAAAAAAAAAAAAGAAACAGATTTCTTTTCACAAAATGTTTAAATTTTGACTGTCAACAGAAAAAAATAAGTATCTGATGGCATGTCGACAAAGCTCTTATGTGCCTTGGCTGCAGGATCCAAATGTGGGAGCACAGGCCACATGTGCTGAAACCAGCCAGGGGCAGACATTTAACGTCACTTGGAGAGCAGTTTTCAATGAGCATGGAACACGACTTTAACTTCCACTTAGATGCACCATTGGCACATAACTATTCTGACAGCTTTGCAGTGTGATCTGATTTCTGCCTGCCCCTCATGTAGACCAGACCATAAGCTTTTGAGGACGTGGACTGTCGTGGACTGCATGTTTACATATCCCCTACATTTTATATGCTGATGGCATTTGAAGGTGGGGCCTTTGGGAGGTGAGTAGCTTTAGATGAAGTCATAAGGGTGGGAGCCCCATGATGGGACTAGGGCACTTGTAAGAAGAGTGAGAGGCTGACTATCAACTATAGTCTCTCTCTTTCTTTCCTACTCACTGAAGGAAGGCCACGTGAGGACCCAGGGAGAAAGTGACTGCCTGCAAGCCAGGGAGATGGCCTCTCCTAGAAAATGGAATGACTGGTACTTTCCTTGATCTTGGACTTGCTTGCTTCAGAACTATGAGAAATGTTCTTTAAGCACTGCAGTCTGCTTTTGTTACAGCAGCCCAAGCTGAGTCTTGGACCACTTTGGTTTGCTTGCTTGTATCCCACTGGGACCTGTCTTAGTGTATGGCACATGGCACATAGCATTGTTTGCAAAGGGAGGAAGGAAATGCCTCTGCATTGAAAGGTCTTCTGAATTAACACACATTTTTCCATTTTAGGGAAGAAAAGATACCAGACAAGAGAATAGACATATGATTCCTGAATAAAGGACTGGCAATTTCATGAGTTATCAGCATCAACATTATGTAGAAGCAAAACAGAGCGGAAAAAAAGGCCCCTAAATCCCCTGTCATTAATCCAGTCTAGGTACAGTTTCCATGGGAAGACAACTGACTATTAAGACTGGGAAAAAAGGAGAAAGAAGTACTGACAGTGTACTTGTCAAGCAAGGGTAGAGGATGGTACTATTTGGAACAAGTATGTCACAGATAACTGAAGAACGTGGACACAACACGAAACTAGAATTTAAAAATCTCCTCCACTACAAGTTCTTTTCATGCCTAATCACTACCGATGAGATAAAACTTATGTGAGCAAAGTACTGCAGCAGAACAAGGCAGAAGACTCTCGTGATAAAGAATAAACACACACAAATGCCTCAGTCTCAGCGGCTGCTGCCCCCATCCTGGTCATGTGATGAACGGATTCTGACAGGCTGGTGCCAGCTCCTTCTCCTCAGCCCGCCTCCTCTAGCCACCACTCCTCAGATGTGGACCTAGGCCGCCTTCTCTCTCCTTTCTAGAAGAACAGAATGATGCCCACAGCCTCAAGGATCCAGTTCGCTGTTGACTCCCTGCCCAAGCCTCTGCCCTGAGCCCCAGAGTCATACATTCAACTCTGTTCTTGTCATCTCCCTTCTGGATCTGCCATGGATCTTTCATAGTCAACATGTATCAGAGGAAATGCACAATTATGTCCTTCCTCTGAGCTAAACACACAACGGGGTCCCTTCCAGCAAAGACTATGGCTGTGTTTATCTCTAATGTCTTGTACAGCAATTGGTAATTAACAGGTGCTTGAACATCACATGTAAACCCTCTGGGGACCCATCACACCGAATCAGCCTTCTGTAGCCACAGACCCCATAAGACTAAACTTGGGCTCTGGTTTTACATGTCTGTCTGCCCAGAAAACTGCAAGCTTCCCGAGGCAAGGGCAGGTCTACACTCACGAGATCTTACATGCTGCTTTTATGAGTGGGTGCTCAGCGACTATCCGTAAGTCAATTTTTACCCAAATCTTTGGCCTTTGCCCAAATTTTCCTATAAATGAAAGAGCAATCTCTTCCTTAAACTATAAACCAATGGACAAATCCTCCCATGAAACCGGCCCCCAAACACTTTCAGCAACAGATTCTGTGAATTTGTCTTCTGTCTTCCTGCTGTTTCCTCTGGTGGCTCCCAGGCTTCAGAAGGGCAGGACAACGTCCCCTCTTTAAGGAGCACACCAAGACCATACAGCTGGTAGAAATCCCTGGGTCGGCGCATACCACTTCAATGGCTGCCTCTTTGGGTTCTATTTATTCTGTAACCTTGAATATACTCACCGCAGGGCAGTTTTAAATAGCAATGCAATTATGGTATCTACACGTCTCTTCATTTCAATGTACTCAATTTTAAACTGTTTTTACATATAATTATTTAAAAACAAATACAGTTATTACTGTAGTTTAAAATGAACCAAACTACAAACCAAAGGGATTAGGGGAGCATATAAAATCATTGGGAAGATACATGTTTTACAAGCAGTGGCATCTTATCATTACCTTCACTTTTGGACCCTGGTACTCATCTAAATTCTATAAATGTTCACCTCTTCTATAATAAAGTTTAATTTATAATATTGGAACTAGTTCCAGAAGGAGATAACTTTTCCCCATTAATGTGCTTTTTTAATTTAAAGCTTAGGGAATCAGATTAAAAAACTGATACAAATTCCTACTAGTGACCTTAGCACCAGAGGTGGCAAACATAGGCACGTATAGCTGTGGACAGAGAAATGAAAGGACAGCCGTGCATTCCCTTTTTTGCGTTGGAAGGAGCCCTTTCTGTTCTGAGATGTTGCTAAGTAAAACCGTACTTCAAAGACCTCCCTGCTGGCTTCTAAAACACTGGCCTTCAAATGTGCCTCGTGGCCAGGTCTGACTAATATAATATTTTCTTTTT